CGGCAGCCGTGGCTCGGCCGCCTCGAGATGAATCCATCACGTTAAACAATGTAAATGTTAGCCCGTCTCAGCATAAAACTAATAACCATTGCTCTCTCCCTCGTCCTATGGGCATGGCCTCCAACCGCGGTTCGCCGGCTCTTCATTCACCTCTGGCTTCGCTTGCTTCCACTCCTCTATTCCCCTGTTCTGCCTAGCGGCGCGCCACACCGGTGTGGTCCTCCTGCTTCTCTCTTACTCGTTTCTCTGCTCGCCTCCGACCTCGCCTACGTGGCCTCATTAAAAAGTCGACACTCGCCCGCGGACGTCTCCGCTTCAACTTACGCATTGTCGAGAGGACAGATGATGATACTCGGAGTCGTGTGCCATTCGTTAGTTTGACCAATGAACGAGCACTGGCCATTGTATCCGCGCCTCTTTAGTACGCTTAATTGTGGAAGATCGCCGTAACGAAGGTTTTCTGGGCGATTCTTCGATAGCATAGTTTCTTTGAGAAAACTGAAGATGGAGAAAAAGAGGCGTGTCGTATTCGTATCGAAGACGTATTTTTAAAAAGATGTTAATTAGGAAGACAAATGTCATTGATGGGAATGTTTGGCGCTATTAGCGATTTATGAATGGTACAAATAGATCCTTTCTTTGGTTAAACATCCATTGAACTCAACCGAAAAACTCGAATCACAATTAAAACCTTCAAACGTGTGGTACACCTTCTTCAGAACATAATAAAGAATTAATTGAATCGTTGTATGCAACAAACATATTATTGATTTAGCTATTTGAAACATATGAACTATTTAAATAACGATATATTAACCATTTGATACAGCAATATTTTACAATTATCTTAGCTCATCAAGTTATCTTTAATGTACGTACTAACATTCAATCGTAATATTAAATTTGAAAAGATAAAAACAATCAAAAACTTCCCATACTTAATTACAATCTTCAAGTAAAGAAATATACAACGATAAAACTAATAATGTGCAATTCGAAAGAATAAAAATTCGAAAGCGATTATTTATAAAATGGCTGTTCTGCGCTGTATTCGCTTGATCGGTGGAACGCCGGCTGCACTGCTTCGCTTTTCAGTATGCTACGATAGTGGAGTCGTTGTAAACCGCGTTCAAATCTTACGATACCGGATGGATTGCGAAATTTCAGTGAAAACGAGGAATATGGGGAACCTGTGAACGGAGTATGGAGGACCCTCCAGCAGACAGAGGACTCCGACCCCAGTTCCGTCTTCGACAGCGTCTTTATGTCCATGTCCGACACTCTGAACTCGATAAATACTCTCGAAAGTTCCGATCAAACTCCCGACGACAAACCACAAAACACTATCACCGACAGAATACCATTAGCACAGCGCGACATCACACGGTAATGACATGCAAACGTTCTCCAGCACAATGCTAGCGCTTTCGATTCTCCTGCACTGAAATCGATTCTCTATTCGATTGTCTGTCGAAGATACACTGCGGTGAATTTTACGACGCTGCAACCTGTTGCGTTTTTGTAATTCATATTGGATATTCGTGACGCGTAAATAGGCAAAATATAGGGAAAATTGGAATTGGGAAATCTTGCAAAAGTTGTTGTGGAGAGTGATAAACTTATTGTATGTTTGCTTGGAAATTGATCTCATGGTGATGGGTTTTTCGTAATTTTACAGCGTTATGTGTATTTTCTGGATTATTTGCTGTTTGATTTTAAATATAATTAATTTAGTTTAATATTTGAATTTCATATTAAATACGAAGTTCAAAGCATCGATAAAAACATGTTCACGCGTAAATCTCTAAAGAGTAGAATAATTTCCAAACGAATTAACATATAAATAATGCTGTTTTCAATTGTATCTAATCAAACTGCACCATACAACAAGAATCATAACAATCATCTTCTATCATGGAGAAATTAAACAAAATCTTCATCGTCAAATATTTCATAATCCAAAGAACAGTCCTTTAAATCCATAATATATTACAGTGTCAATCGTCCAAAGCGCTACTGCATGATATTTATCCTAATTTACTTTGTCATCATACACGAACGAACAAACAAAGAACGAAACAAATTAAAAAACAAAAAGTGAATTTGTTCGATGAAGTAAACCATTAGCAATTCCAAGTTAATGGTGAGTTGGTCCCGCTGAGACGTTGAGTTTGGTTGCGCAGGGGTTCCGACAACGGATTGTACCAAACGCCACCGGTACCTCGTGGAACAATGGAGGGTAGCTTCGTGTCGGAGGATCTGTCCTTGACATTACCCACGGGATACGGGGGTGGCAGGGAGTCGGATCAATTGAGCGTTTCCTCGTCCTCGAGCGTCGGTGGACCGAGCCCACGGGACCGGCGTTGTTTGCCCAACGATTCCAGCGCTGCCGGGATTTACTTGCCAATGGCACCCTTGTCCAGTTCTCTTCACAGCCCCGCCTCCAACAGTAAAGTCTCGGTAAGAATACCCCGATTCCCCTTTTCGTCTCGACATCTCGTCTATGACTCGGTGAAGAGTTGTACTATATCGCAAAAAGTATACTCGTTCGAAGCGAAATCTTTCATTCTAGTATCTGATCCGACGTATTGTGTCTTTGTTGATGAAATGTACGAAGTATTTAATAACATTTTTACTTTCATTTTTGGTGATATTATTGGTATTCTTGATGATGATATACAAGATGTAAACAAAATAGGTGATATTGAACTTTGGTATTGTATTTTGTTTTTAACTTTGATGTGGTTCTTTAATTTTTATGTGCAAATCTTAATCTTTGTTAAACAACCTAGAAGATTCTAAATGGTTTAAGAAAAACTGTAACATATATTTAAGAAAGAGATTCTTCCTCAGATATAAGAAATTTTGTTGTTTGCATTGGAATTTCGTAAGAGTAGCGATCACGTCTGAAGATTACAGGAGAAAAAATAAGATAAGTCTATTTCCGTTGGTTTTCTGATTTTTGTGTTACGCGATAGTCAAGGGTCAGTATTTTATTTGAAAAGGGAAAGAACTTGTCAGTTTAGAGATATAAGCTTCATAAGAATAAATATGAGATTTCTTTGCCTATCGAACTTTCAGGCAGAGATTAATTTATCATAATATACGCTATTATTCTATCTCAAATACTACAATTACTTATTTCTAATTAAAAAAAGAATAATTGTTTGGAGAAGGAGAAATGAATTTATCTTTAGTAGAACACGATACCAAAGTCGCTTATTTTCATTATATCCTGTATAAATAATTTTATAATAAAATTGTTGTTGTACTATACGTAATGGTATTACGTAACTTACGTAGATTTAAAAATTATGTAAATCAGTATCAATTTCTTATGCTTGCATTGCCATGTCGTATTATGAAATTGTATCGTATTTGGAATTTTTATAAGCTTCATATTGACATTTTCTTGTTTTCCTTCCCTTTCTTTAAATACCGGTCGATTGTTAATTTCAAGCAGAATCTCAATTTGTACAGTGAATTTTTTTTTTCTCAAGCATCCTTCTTCCCTATTTTTTTCCCACTTGTTCGAGATTGAAGCTTTTTTTACTGCGCGAAGAACCGGCAATGAATCATCTCTGCGTCTTACAGTTCGTTAACGTGGACAAATTGATCGCAAGTTAATTGGCCCGGCATGACAGCTTGACGCTGGCTACACATTTTTCCTTCGAACGAGGTGACTTCGTGAAAAAAAATGCCGATCGAATATTACTTTCGAAAGATATGCGAACGATTGTTATTAATCGAACTTCATAAACATTGAACTGTTTTTATAGATGGAGAAGGCTCCATTTTCATTGTTGTTAATCCCAATTCTTAATTGATACTGTATCCTTTATTTCCGTATTTTGCGTCAGTTGTTGTCTAAGTGCCAATATTTTATATTCAACTAAGATATAGTTATCAATATTATCAGTTAAGATTTAAGTAGCTACTATATCTAAATTGCGGTCAAAAACTATTCTTTTAGAGCTACTTTAATATTTCGTTGTTTTGGAATATATCAAACTTGTACTTAATCTATCTAACTGATTATTTATTCTCCACATACGATAATTACTATTTCTCCATAATATCGTCTGATTCATGCTGTCTGCATCCCCTGACTGTTCTCTAATTCATCAAATTCCCCAATACATATTTTTATAAACGTTATTTAAACAGGCAATTAGACACAACAAGACTGAAATATGCAGAATTTTACATTTGTCTCGTTCTACTACAATTTTCCAACTTTCGTTCAAAATTTCCTGAAAAATCTATTTTCTCAGCGCGAAATATATTAACAGGTCCTCAAGCGTAAAATTAGTAGCAATGTATCTTATTCCAGCCAACTCCACCGAAAAAGCCACCCAGACGCAATCTCTCCGTCTCACCGACGCACTTGCAGACCCAGATGTCTTTATCAGCGGACTGTTCTCTGGGCCCGAGCAACTACGAGTATTTATTCATGGCGCGCAGCGGCGCCCGCAGCCATATCGACTTGGAGCAGTTACAAAAACGCCGTGAACAATTGCGTCACGTGACCAGAAGCGTGGACCAATACGTGGAAATGAAGTCTCGCGTGCCGGATGGCGAAGAAAGACGCGAAACTAACGTAGAACCGGTTGCCATAACTTCCATCTACGAGAACAGACCGATCAAGACGTTGAACCCTCGACGAAAATTACGTAGACACGCGTTCGAGAATTATGAACCGGAGAGTAGTCCTTGCGCAGACAAATCGCCGTGCAGCGAGACCGATTCGTTCGTCCAGGAACCGATGTTCGTGTCGAACGCGTTCCTCACGCTCAAGTCTTCCCAGGAGAGTCTTCTGGACGACAAGCGCGACGCTATCGACGAGCATTCTACGCCAGAAGGTCGCGAAGCAACTGACAAGCGCCTGAAACGAGTACAAATGATGCTGCCCACCAGTCCAACGCACTATGTTCAGCCACCGACGCCTGATCATCCGCCACCTTCTGCAATGCAAGCTGAGAAGTCGATTCACGAAAGGATTCGTCCTTTGAGTCAGGTGAGTTGGACTTATTTTGTAGACTTATTGGTGGGTGATTTTGGGTGGTTTGCTTCTGTTGGTTTAACTTTCAAGCTTCTCATTTGGAGGCTTTGGTCGGTTTGTCGCTTATGTTTATGTACTGCAGAGTCAAAAAGAAGCGAAGAGAATACTCTCTTTCCTTGTTCACTGTCACACGATGAGGTTTCATTTGTAGATGCGACGTTCTTGGCTAAAAGTTTACGATTGTGTTGGATCTATCGGAAATAACCGATTAGATCCACTTTCCTTCGAAGGCGGTTCTTTCTAGCTCTATGCAGTATTTGTGTGACGTGCGAATTTTTGGTGAGGTGGAATTCTTGGTAAGTAACTTTTGCCATTAGCAAATTAGCAAACATCGTTCATAGCCTAAAGGTTCTCATAAACACAATGTCAAGATTAATATCAAACATTAGCCTTACCAAAGCTGATCTAACGTCCAATGTAAAAACCCGTAAAAGATGCAGAATTCGCGTATCTACGTTATTACATTTATCAAACCATTTCGATCAAGTCAACTCTCACGAAACATTCCTAGAATTATCGATCCATAACATCTCAAAAACCCACGTTATCTGCCAAGCCTTTGCCTCAACAGCGATACATTTATCTCTGGAATCGCATGCAAATCGCAGTCTCCCAGTAGATCTTAAGCGGCTGACGCGGTACAAACGTCTTCGCGATTCGCCACACGATCTCCACTGGAGCGTGCGTTCGCGGGCGTTCAATCTTGCATCCTTGGCTGCGACTAAGGACTGGCGCGTGTATGTACCTTGTAACACATGTCGGGATGTCAAACGTAGGCAACGTATCCGGTCGCGAAAGTACTGGTCCGCAATGCTGGTCTCGTAAACGGTAGCATATTTAAAATCATTTATCATTCATCGAGACAGACGAATAACGATGTCACAGCGATTGCATCGTGTCAATTGTTGGAAGGATATCGTGAAAAATACCGCTCAGTAAGTGTTCTTAAGATCGAGAGACGGTCCTGGAACGTGGACAGTAGATAAGCAGTTGGCAGGACGCTTTATAGCAGGTTACGTTTAATATACAAGCCGTGTTTGATCTGTGATGCGATTTGCAAGGAGGCCGACTTCTCTGTCGCTCTATGCTGCCTGTATCGCTCGTTTCTCGCCGTTTGCCGCGTCATCCTGTGATCGTTCTGCTGTGAGACTGACTACGTTCGCTTCCCATCCGCCGCGAATGGATATCCACACAACATCCACCGTGTGCCTCTATTTCTCCCTCGTTTCTCATCTATCTCGTACCCTCTACAGGTGCGCCATCTCGTGATTCGAACCATCGTATTTTCTGTGTAGCACACGCGTCTTCTCTTCCCATACCGTCTACCAACTATGTGTTCCTTGCATCCTTCTTCAGCACCCACTCCAATTCGCTCTCGCTACCCCAACGCCTGTCCTTTCTCGCTAGTTCCTTTCCGCTGACTGCTATGTGCGTTCGCAATCCGTGTCTTTCAGCGGTTATACATGCTTCACGAAATATCGTACAGTGAATATATCCTTCAGCGAAAGGAGCCGGATGAAGGCAAGACGCTTTGGCTGCCGGCATGTACGGTTACCTCCGCTTCAAGGATATCGAGTAGTTAGTGCTTCAGGATCTTCACGGATACGATGTCGCGTATGGTTTTTACCAGATTTTCTCCTCTCTGTCGTGTGTGTACAGACGCCTGGTTCTTTCCGTGGATCGATTCGAGGAACATTTGGATAAGTAATCAGTTATATCGACAAGCGTAGGTATATTTAAGATACGTAAGTTTGTTAAGGTTCTGTTGAATTGTTTAAGAGTTTATTGTAAAAGTTAGACTCGAGTTTAGGATTACAAGTTGCTCTGGTGCGTATAAAGGTATTAATATAAATAAAGGAAGAGGAATAAGTATTTAAACTTCAACTGGTATTATTAAGCTATAAGCGATTTGCAGTTTTAGTAAATTACCTATGTTTAGAGTACTACGTGTCAATTTGCATTTTTTCTATGGTTTAGTGCTATATTTATATATGAAATAGGTATAAATCAATCTTATAGATCGTAAAATTAGATGACCTAAGTCAAACGAGTGATCATCTATTATATAACAATATTAATCAAGAGTTAAGTATTACCAGGATCAATTTGGTAAAAGGAAAATGGGATATTCTTTAGCACTCTCTTTCTTTTTAAGAGAAATTATTCTAGACAATTTTATGATTTGTTAAGATACATTTACGTTATAAAAAAATATTTTTTTTGTAGATATGTATAAAACGTGAGAAAATAAAGACTTTGTTGGAGAATTTATTTGTAGATCCATTTGTAGAACTAAATATAAGAAAAGGGGTTAGGGGCTTGGATTAGGTTACATGCGAAACGGGGAAACGAAGTTACAATGTGCAATTTCGTTGAACGAGATGTCTGTATGTGTATAGATCTGGCAATCTAGCGGGACGGTAATTGGCAAGTCACGGAGTCGCGACTGGCGATAACGAGTCAACCTCGATTTCGATTGACGCTCGTAAATCTCATCAACCCGGACGAGACACAGCCGATGTTTCGGCACAATTTACTCGTCTCCTCGAGCGGTATAGTGGTAAAGGTACCTTGGTTATACAGGAAACAGAAACTGTCTAGTGCATGTAATGTTTACTCGGTTTCGTATTCCTTTAATGATCAATCCATGGCGAAAGAAATTGGTCACTCGAAAATCAAATTTTTACTCACTTTATGTATCGGATCTTCTCTTTTCCAATAAGGGAAAATACATTATATCGACGATTTAAAGGTTCTTTACGTTAAAACATCTTTAAAATAAATAAATAAAAGTGAATAAAATGAAAGTACAATAAAAAATCGACCATGTGAAGGTCGTCCACAAACGAACATACCAGTGTTTTAAGAGTTAACATTTCCTATAAATAACACCTCTAAAAAAGAGAAAAAGTGTGTAAAAAAATGGGTCGCGTCAAAGTCGTTCGCAAACGAAAATCTCAACGATTTGTTAAAATCGTACATCGAAATAAATCTTTAAAATAAAAATATGAAATAAATAAGAAATAAAAGGAATATATAAAGTCGGACTTCGTTGGACTTGTTCACGAACGAATGTCAACGATTCGAAGGTTAAAATTGCCTACACCGGAATTTAACTAAATAAAAGATAGAAGAGATAAAAAGAACGTAAAATATATGGGCTACGTCAAAGTTGTTCAGGAACGAATGTCAGCGATCTTTTCGGTGTGAATCAATGGCATATCGAGTCGAGGAGGAATCATGGAAAAGAGGAAGCGTGTGGCGGCGCGCCTGAAGCTTGGCGAAGGAAGAGAAGGAGGTGGAGGAACTGCTCACGGATGGTTGCTTCACACCCGTCAACTTCCGCGGATCCAGCGGAGCGGCAGAATGCAAGACGCCGACACCCTTTGAATAATGAAGCCCTCAGCTTCTATGCCTGTCTGACTTCTCCTCGCGAACGCTCGTTCTCTCCTTGCGTCATGACGACGACGAGAAATCTACGAATTTGTAGCGACGCTTTCCGCATGTATACCATGCGTACACCGCGAGATGCGACCGCCCGTGTCTGTCTGCTTGCCTGTCTGTCTGTCTGACCGTCTGTCGTCTCTGCTGGCGTCAAATTTTAATTGCGTTAAAACGGCGATCCATGACGCGAGGGAATCTTATCTCGTTCGCGCTTACCACCTTTGAGTTTCTTTATGGATGAACTGCTCGCGATACGTGCACCTTCTTCATGGTAAAACGATTTCTCTCAAGAGTTTGTATTTACATCTGTATTTACAGTATATCGTGGCAGTATTTGCACGTTTGGTTGCTGTAAAAATATCTTACGTCTGTATTATTTGTATTACATTTATTATTATTATTATTATTTATGAAATATAACAGACATGATTATGATATTTAAAGATTGAACAAATTTGAGGGTGGACGTAGAGGATACAAAGTATTTATCGCAATCAAAAGGTATTTGAACAATCAATTATCAATCGTTTATATTAATAAATCTCAATATTGTATTCAACAAGACCATCTTAAGCACTGTTTGTAATATGTAAACGATGATTAGTATTTTTAGTTGATATTTTAGTTTTTCCAAAAAGGGAAAGAAACGCTCCATTGAAGATGTAAAAACAGAGTTTTTTTATGTGTATATTTTGTAATACAGTTTTATTTCAACAGTTTTCGCTGGACCAAGTTTCCCACTAATTTGAAAGTTATAAAATTGGACGACATATTTACACGAACTCGATGACTTTTATTATTGTTATAACATTCAACATTTATTCAGAGCGTTAATTCGGGGCAAATGACGACGATATATTTTTGATTCGGTAAATCGAAATTTTAATAACCGTACACGTGTGGCAATGGTTTAAATTACGGGTCGAAGCTTTATGGATACAAATACATCCCTGGCGAGATTTATTTACCCGATTCATATTTTATAACGTTTATTGTGTATAATCGTATCAAGTGATCCGTCCCAATAGATTTCTATCGGATTGGAATCGTTTTTTATTTGGTCTGCACCAGCATGTTTTCGACGCGTGTGCAACGCTCAGAGATGAATCTGGGCACCTGCTCGTAAACGTTACCGCACGAAATGTCATTTCTAATCCCTTTTTTTTTTTTTTTTTTAGTAATTCAAGTCTGTATTACTAGTAAAAAAGCGGGCGTGCTTGGAAATAGGCGGAAAAATTGGAAAAACTAAATATAATCTAAATATTTGACAATCACGTTTTTACCATAAATAGTTAACTTTCGGTGTATATACTATTAAATTTCAATTGTATGGAGCAATTTCCCTATTCAACGCTTTTATGTAAATATTAAACAACAAAAAAAAAGAAGAAATTAAACTACTTGGATAAACCAGTTTGTCAGAATTATTTGGTTAGAACTAAACTGTTTTTTTTAAAAATTGAAATCTTAATGAGAAGTGATTATTCATTTGCTCAAAGTATTTTTCTTACGTTATAGTTTTAGATTTTCGCTTGCTTTATTATTTAAATTATTAAATTACCAAATGCGGAAGAATGGAACATCAACGATCTTGTAATCTTATAATAAATGCAACATTTGCTCCAAAAGTAACAAGAAGCTATAAATAATAAAACGACGTATTTCGATCTCTTAATACAATATCAATTCCTAATTGCATTTGGATACCTTGGATAAACATCCGTAGACTATTTTATCCATCAAATATGATTGTCCACGTTCTAAAACCAAAAGAAATTGGATAAACTACTAAACTCAGAAGTTGTAAAAATATTAATATCGGACACCCAATAAAATCCGGCCATCCATTAAAATGTGTCCGTAATGGATTTCATCAGGAGTCATCTTTGAAGAAAAAAAGAGGAAAAACAGCGATGAAAAATGCATATACCTGGGTGTTATTTGTTGGCAGGTATACAAACGGCGGTCCCGCGACATGGAAACGGAAACCGACGAGGATTTATTGCAGTTTCCGGCCGGCGGCTCCCTGGACGCTAGCAGCGGATCGTTATCGAGCGTTTCTCTGTCCGACAAGAGCATGTCGACGGACAATGTCGAGGAATACTTCGGGGATGTGCCGTTCGCAGGTAAACAGCATCGCACGCTTGGCTGCACCGCATGACGCTTCTTTCTGCCCACGTGTACATGCATAATCGTTGTGTTACGTCTTTGTTTCTTCTTATTTTGACCGTCTGCCTGACGATGATCGCCATTCCGGCAATCGTCATCCCCGGGGGAAACTAGTGAAATATCACTAACCAATATATAAATATATACATACATATAAATATATAAGCACAAAAACCATCGAAATGCGTATTTCGATTCACGAAAGTTAGTAGCTCATTGGCTCTCCTGCAGAATAATTCAATAATTAATCCTCCATAAACAAGCTGATCTTTTATATCCAATTCTTTTAGTGTTGTACACGGACTTACGAAAAATTTGAAATTACATTATACAGTCAGTTTTTCAGTGCAAAATGTTCAACCGTAGTATGGGCAATCTTCGATTACTTGGATATACTTCTCTATTTTATTATGTCAATAACTTTCTACGTTCCAGCAAAGGTATTATAAAATGCTGCATATCTCCATTCTTTGGTTATTTCTATGCAAAAATGTCGAAATTTATGGGAAAGTTTTAAGTTGATTAATCACAGTATTTTGATCGTCTACATAAAAAATAAGGCTTAGAAGGGAAATATCGCTGAGAGCACAAGCGAACCAGCTTGTCTACGAAGGGTTAATGACATCAGCGAGTCGACAAACAAGTTTAGATTAGATCTAGATTATTGATTACTTTGTTCGCGTTGCACAAGGCAATTTTTATAATTTTAACTTATAAAATTCATATAAAATGGAACTTTATCTATTTTATTATCAAATTTGTCATTGCGATGCAAGAAAATCTATTAACATTAATAATTTACATTTATAACTTGTAGCTTGTAAAGTTTCGCTGATAATATTAACTTAATTGCGTAAGAGAGTCATGACGATGATTTTCGTACGAAATATTTTGTAACATTTGATTCGTCGAAACGTTCTACGTATCAGAACAACATCGTTCGCGATTGTTGTTTCACGTCGATGGATCGATTATATTTACATCGTGCTTTTGTTTCTACGATTTCGTGTACTGTAGGTGGAACAACAACAGGACTTTTCGACTGTCATGGCTTTTTTTCTTTTAATATAACATGGCGATCCGAAAGGTTCAATCTTTAGTATTATACCAGTTTTGTGAGCCACCAATTGTATAGTTTTTACCTTTCTCCGTCTTTCTTTCCATTTCCTTTTTTTCTGGCTCGTATTTTTGCATTGTCGCGAATATATGGTTGTCGTATTTTCGTATTTTATACCGGTTTATGGAACGCTGAGCCAATATTTCCATTTGGTGGTTGTTTGCGATGCGCCGGGAACACGATGACGTCACCCTGAGTAAATGTGTCAACGTGTAAAGATACACCGTGAAAGAAGATTTGTATCCACGCGTAGAGATATATCGTTTACGCAAATATTTCGAAACGTTCGCAAGAAAATCGATCGTTCCGATTTTGATTTCAATTCTTGAATCACGATGAGATTTCTTTTGAAAATTCGTTTCTCGACTTACGATTTTTGTAACTTCTCCGTCTCAAACACGGTTACACGATGATTCCAGAATCATTGTAACACTTTTGTTGCTATCAGAATTTCATTTTTCCTGCTCGGGAGAGATTTACTCTTTTTTTCTTTTTTTTTAACCGATATTACTACATCGACTGAGTATAATCGTGTTCAATAATCTTCTTTTAAATGTGAAGATGCAACAACAGTGATCTTCAATGAAAAGAGAAACGCAATAGTTGCAGTATTATTAGTACCAGTATTATTGAAGCAATTAACAAAACGCAGAGCTTGTTAGTAGCAGTGAAAATGTCAAACGTCCGTATTACTAAATGTACATACCTAATCTATAAATGTATTGCTAAACCCACATTATCCTCTCCCAATTAACAAACTAAAATGCAAATTAATAATAATAATAATAATAATAATAATATTTAAGAACGAACCTTCCGGATCCCATGGCAAAAAGGGACAAACAGATTTCGACTAAGCCGGGGGAAGAAAGATAGGCAAAGAGTTATAGAAGGCGAAGGTTTCACGGGTCACAGAATGCCGTAAAGCACGTACAGCCCGTCGCTCTCGACTTCTGAAAAAACATAAATGAACGTGCTTTAGTATTAAGAGCTCGATCCTCAACAAGGACGAAAAAAAAAAAAAAAAAAGAAATAAGAAAGAACAAAGATATAGAAAGGAAGGAAAATACCACTTTATAACGAGACTGCTACTAACTTCGATTGAAATACTCGAACGGGGTGCTGAAGATATATAGAAATCTCTTTGAGCGAGGATAAAACGCGTGAAGCGAAGGAATTAATTCCGTCGACTACAGGTTTCGATATTTTAAATAAAGCGAGACAAAAAATGTGTCGCTGGACGAAGTAATCATGATAAATATAACCAGTATCCGCGTTAAATGTTTTTTTGTACAGCGGTTTCGCGCAGATTATTTCCGCGAGACGAATCAGCAGCCGATACCGGAAGTCGTCATCCTTTCCGGCCGCTAGACGCTCGCCCACGGTGGACAAGAAACGCGATCGATAACGTAGAAAGTGTTAGACACGCTCTTGCAATGTGCTACGTACGATTAGTATTCGAATAGTTCCTTAGATTATTTTACATTTGTTCGTTTACTGTGATGTATACACGGGTATATAGAGGGTGTCGCGAGAGAAGATTGCAGAATTCGGAAGCGTGCTAAATATATCGTAATGGGATGGAAATGTTTCGTATTAGGTATAGAAAAAACGACAGGAGATTTTTTTGATTTAGTATGATTAGATTATTGAACTTTTATTGCGTTTAATAGAATTAAGAAGAACTATCGAGGAGGAAAAGAACGTTTATTTGTTTGTTTCCTTTTTCATAGAGTATTTCTTAGGAAATGTATTATTATGAGTTTGGGTAATTTTGAAACGTAGTTTTAATACGTAGTTCATAGTTACGTTTGTTTCACTATTTAGTTTTTATTATTATTATGTTTGGTCGAGTATTTTGTTTTCCTTTATTAGTTATGTAAAATATGTTTTACGTAGCATCCTTTCAGTTTTGTTGAAATTAGCGGATTAGCTTTTTCATCGAAATAGAACGTCGCATTTTGCTTTGACAGAGTTTGAGGACACTCTTGTGTTCTCTGAAGCAAGGTTCGTAACGTAAGATGTAGTTTTACGTAATTTTTATTCTAATTACACAAATAAAAGACAGCGTGTTACTGTATCAACGACTGTCGATACTTATAACGTTCGAAACAATCGCTATGAATAATCACTACCAAATCACTATGATTCTTATTATAAGTCAGAACTCGACGAGTTTTATGTGTGCCAATAAACATGAAAAACTCTTTTTATTTACATTTAAAGAAGAAGAAGTTCCTTTTTCATATTATTTTACGATGGTAATTTTTTTTTGTTTTAGGAAGTAGCATAACATTTTTTAATGTTTTCTAAGAGAATACATTCTGTAAACCTTCGTTTCTTACTACTACCCTCTATATACAAACCGTTGTGCGTATTATGTATATGACATATTTGTAAAAAACATTTATAGAGGTTATTATGTCGAATGTTTTATTGATTGTTTTTTTCAATAGAGTATACGTTACACATCCTATACATTTATCGAAATACATCGGTGATGATGTTATGTAAATACCCTTCTCGGACGGATTCCGATGTATTAGAAAGATACGAATCTTTAATCGTAAAATTGTAGTTCAGTACTTTCAATCGTAGTTATACATTATGCTATAAATCGTACGTATACTCTGTAGTGGCTATTTGTCGTTTTTCTTTCACCTTTTAATTGCACACTGTAACAAAGTATATACTTTAATGAGAGTAAAGTTAGAACGACGAATCGAATTCACTTGAGATATGTGCAACAGCGATGAAAGATATCGTTCGAAGTATCGGAAAGAGGTTTTAAGCCTGAAAACGTTGGTGGAATTTCAATTCCTTTATGTGAAAGAGAAATATCGTCGTTGTAGATCGTAAAGTTATACCTAAGTGAAAGTATTTCATCGACATATGGGCGCTGTGATGGGTGCAATTGGCGATATCAGAGAACTTGTCACATTCGTTGGTTAGAAAGTCGTGGATAGATTTCTTCCCGATGTTTCTTTTTTGTTCCTTTTCGACGTTGGTGCTAGATGTTTTTTTCTTAGCGTAAGCATACGATATACTGCCGAGTTTCGAAAGTCAAATTAATATTTGAACGTCCATAGATAAATATTTTTCCATTACTAATTAATGAAAAAAACAAGCCAATCAATTATCAATTTACTGCCACGCATCAAATGCAAAGAATATTAAGTGACGAATTTTTAGTAATAAAGATATCGAAGTAAGAGAGGCTCGATATTTTTCTGTACAGTTATTATACTCGTCGAGAATGAAAATTACCCACGACTTCTAAAGACGCTCCATATATTGTCGAGACTCGTAGGTTAAGCACTTTGATTTGTTACACAGAATTCTATTTCCTGGTATATAAGTACATAGTTTATTTTGTGATTGTTTTTCATATTTTATTTTATGTTAAATATGCTTTCGTCTAGTTATTGTAATCGCTCAACGAGTATTCACGAGTAACAGAGAGAGAGAGAAGTACATATATATATATATATATATATATATATATATATATATATATATATATATATATATATATATATATATATATATATATATATATATATATATATATATATATATATATATATATATATATATATATATATATATATATATATATATATATATATATATATATATATATATATATATATATATATATATATATATATATATATATATATATATATATATATATATATATATATATATATATATATATATATATATATATATATATATATATATATATATATATATATATATATATATATATATATATATATATATATATATATATATATATATATATATATATATATATATATATATATATATATA